TGCATTATACATTAACAGCTTGCTGATGAGCACCCTTGTAGTTCATTTACAAGCTCTGCAGCTTTTAAACTGACAGCCTGTATGGAGTTATGGGCTGAAAGTTGCAAGGCTTGTCTTAAGAAGCCTGACATTGCACCCCGGATCCAATCATTACGTCTGCATGGAGGCTCCTGCTGGAAAAAAAATCACTTTTTTCTGCAAAAAAATATGCATTTAATATTTTTTTCTAAAAAGGTGAACTTATCCTTAAACATTTAGTCTATCACATTGCAGTTCAGCTATATAGTAGATACACTAGCACATCTCAATATGCTGATGCCCATAGGTGAACACAGAAGCCAATAGCATGCTTAAAAAGAATCACAGGTCTAGCAGAAGAACTGCAGCAAAGAGGTAAGAATTTCACAGACAGGAAGCTGCAGGCTAAACTGTGACAATTGCATACAACATGAATAAACAAAAAGAAAGAAACTTCATATGAATGTTTTCCCAGTCTCATGTCAAAAGTGGAAATAGCTTTAAAGTGATTGTAAAGGCTAAGAGCCCCAATCCTTTCTTGGAGCCCCGCTTGCAATCCTGGCTGCTCCTCTTCCCAGTGTGCTTGCTATTGTGTCTCACCTGCAGGCTCGATCCTGAGCCATGAAGCCTCTGTCTATAGACATAGACAGCCATGCTCAATCCCACCTCCTGCTCTCTTGTCACAGGCTGTGTTTGACAGCAGCAGGGCCAATGGCTACTGTTGCTGTCTCTAAGCCAGTGAGGAGAGAGACAGCAGATCTGCTGTTCTTGGGCACAGTGCTGGATCAAAATCAGGCTCAGGAAAATATTACAGCTCACACAGTAGTTCTCAATGGCTGCAAGAATGCAGCCAGAGAGAAGGAGAAATGATTGCTTTTACAGCCTTTATGCGTGTAAAAGCAATCAGTGTAAAAAAAAAAAAAGAAAATCTTCATCACCCCCCCACACTGTCACATGGTGACACTGTACTGCTAGGGTGACAGTATGTAGAAAAAAACAAAAAAAAACATAAATAATAAAATAAAAAAATAAAATAAAAATGTAAAAAAATTTTTTTTTAAAAATTATAATTTTTGGTTATAAACTAATTTGTTTTTGTTTTTTTTTACTTAAAAGATAACTGAATAAATTTTGGGCAAGATTTATAATGAAATATTATTTATTTACAGATTTTTATAAGAAAAACACTTTTTTAAAACAATGTTTGGACTTTTTCATTTATATAGCAAAAAAAAAAAAAATCCCAGTGGTGAATAAATAAAACCAAAATTAAAGCGTTATCTGTCTAAAAAAAAATGATAAAAAAATGCATATGGGTACAGCGTTGCATGACCGCGCAATTGTCATTCAAAGTTTGATAGCGCTGAAAGCTGAAAATTGTCCTGGACAGGAAGGGGGTAAAAGTTTCCGGACTTGAAGTGGTTAATGAAGAAAATGCATTAAGGTAAAAACCTTTTGCTTTTATAACCAGTTTAGGTTAGAGGCAACCATAAGAAAATATAATGATTTCCTTAGATTGTAAGCTTTAATGAGCAGGGCCCTCTGAATCCTCCTGTATTCATTTGTATTGTAATTGTAGTGTCTGCCCTTATGTTGTAAAGCGCTGTGTAAACTATTGGCTCTATATAAATCCTGTATAATAATAATAATAATTAGGGGTGCCATATATATTTGCTTCAAAGTGATCTTCAGTAGTAATACTGTAGGGCTTAGTAGCTACTTTGTAGGGCTTTCACCCACTGTAACATACCGTTTCATAACATTTACATTGTAGTTGACTTTTTTTATTTAATGTTCATTATAAATAATTATTCATGCTTGTGTTTTGATATGGTATTTTTAAATATAGTCACTGTGTCTCCTCATGAAATAGGTGCATAAGTCTGTGAACCGGGTTTAGTATCACCCCTACCTCACCAGTTTGTTCACTGTAATACATGATTATTAAATCTCTCTGCAAAAGTTCATGAAAAGCTGTACGTTGGGGCTACTTGAGGGCATTCTACACGATTTAGGTTATTATTAACAGATTTGTATTGGATTTTGGTACAATCCATTTTACTATGAATCTTAGGTTTTTAGCTTTTCCACAAATAAAATATATGTTTTTACAAATGTACATATTTGTGAAAGTGCATCAACCTGAAAAGGTTCCAGCACATATTTCTTTGATTTTACAAATAAATTAATTATCAATACATTTGCCATGTTTACTTTTATTGGGAAATTCTCAATAGGTGTTCATAAGGTGTAGTCTACATACTGTGCTTAATTCATATTGCTGAAATTCACAGACAAATAACATGAAGAGGGAGGATTTCTATACAGAGAAGACATAATTAGAGAGGCATTTTATTAAAGCCGCAAAAAGCAGAGAAGAAAACCACAAGGGATAATTAATAGCAGGACTGAGTTATGGGATCAACATTGTAATTTTTTTCTTTTTAATTTAGGGACCTTACACTTAAAAATAACACAGTTCAGAGAAACACTAAATACAGTCTTTAGTGCCTCTTAGCAACAGCAAAGAAGCAAATTGAAATTATTATGTTCATTACATCCCATCATTACTAAGATAATGTGATCCACAACTAGCAGTTCACAGTTTATCAAGTTTAATTGTTAAATATCATAGGTATTTAATCATATGGGTGTCAATTAACTTTTAAGCTCACAAAAATATCATTTTTAAAAACATTCAACAAACTCCTGATTTTGCAGCATAGTTTAATAACTGTAATGTATTGGTGTCACATTAGAGAAAGACACAGGGAGTTAAACTACTGTTTAAGTGTGCTTGAGGCATGTTGTGCTTAAAGCACTAGTTTTTGTTGTTTTTACACAGATGTTATTGCTCAGTAATAACTTACAAAGAGTTCCACATGACATTAATTAAAACATTGTTGGTTTGCAACAATGACTTAATTTGTACTGTTCTGTGTTAAAGGCTCCTTATTTTTATAAGGTACATAGCTTGGACAGACAGCTATTCTAAAACCTTTCTCGGCAATGAGTTGACAAAGAAGCAACGTCCAACTTTGTCTTTATTGCAAAGATATAAGAGGTGAAAACTGAGGAACAGAAAATAAGGCACTTAGTAACACTGTCTGCCATGTGACAAAGCATATTATACATTACAGTAAGGCAATGCACATATAAACACATGTAAGACATGTAGGTTACATAAAACACAGATGCATAAGATATAGACATGTGTATAGACGTACCGACGATGCTATTGTGAACCTGAATGTGAGGGCTGGATCCCTACCAGCATACCACAGGAATGGAGTCTGTGATGAGGAAATGGCTGCTATGAGCATGGCTGATGATGTAATCAGAGTTCATAGGCTACAAGCTATGGAAGCTGAAATGGGTCAAACTTCTACTGTGAAAATGATGCAGTGTATACAAACAGCCACTAGATGGAGCAGTTACACAATGAACAGAGAATTACAAACTGATAAAAACATACTAATAATGCCTAATTAACAAAGAACAAATTGCTAAAGGCATGACATGTACACTGTTTTTTTAAATGTTAACGCTTGCCTTTTATTTATAAGGAAAAGCTGGCATAATCTACAGGTACTTTGATTCTACAACAATGACCAGCTGTTTTCACATTCATTTCAGTTGTTGCCAATGTGTGCATTTACTGGAGTATGAAAAATGATATACAACAAATAATTTAGCCAACATGCAATGTTTTTATTTCATAACAATTCCTTTTTTTAATTTGTCTTTCAAACTAGAGTTACATATGGTGTCATTCTTTAGTGCTACCAGACTGAAATGTACTTTATGTAGGGTAAATGATACTATTTTATAAGGGTGAGTTTTAAAGAAAAAATCCAGGAAAGAGTTTTTTTGGCCCGTGCAGTGGGGTTGTGCCGAAACTGCATGGGTCAAAGCTCATTTTGTTGTTGGGGAGAGGATGCCAAAGATATACTCACCTGACCTGCCAATCCTCCCTGCACAAGACCTTGGAACTACCCAAGTTGAATGCCGCTTAAATGGGTAGTGCCTGTTCTTGCATTAATCCTTTGAGGGACTTCCACCTATTGCATCCAAGGAGATCTGACTTTTTGTAGTGCACCAACCTGGGCCCCAACAAGCGCGCAGAATATATTTCACTGCAGTTAAAGGGACATTAACCTTCCTGATAAAAGAGCTCTTTCTTTGCCTCAGACTTGAACCTGGTCATCAGCTGCTGAGGGTCCAAAGTAAGCTAGCCTTACTCTTTAATAGCTTTTCTCTGCTCACTGGGGACAGAAACATCTCAGAGCTATAGTTCTTGGTTTCTTTTTAAATTGCAGGACATTCAAAACTGATTGAGATTTTTTGCTGTGTGTATGTTGACTTTTGCTTAAAGCCACAATTTAAGCAAAATAACCCTAAAAAATGTTTTTTGTTCTATTAACCTCCTCGGCGGTATGATTCTTTCCGATTTTTTGTGCTGAAAGCGTGCGGTACCCATTTTTTTGCATGGAAATATGTAGTTTTTTATTGTAGGCTGTAATTTTTAGGAATAACTCACTGAAATTTGTCCGAACAAGAGTCTATTAAACATACCGGATATGATAAAATTTGAAACACAAAATCATAAATTATAATTTAATAAATAATCATAAAAAAATAATAATATAATAATAATAAATTTAATTCAATAATATAATCAAACCAAAAACACTGAAATTTGAAATACAGAGGCAAATTCGCACATCGCTGAGCAAAGTCGCAAAATTGTTTTCAGTGTCTGATGACGAAATTTCCCCACGAATCATTATCACTCAATTCTGCAAGTGGTTCTGATTTACTATCGCTGTTCTAAAACCGCTTTTGACGTAAAGGGACGCTTTTTGGACGCCATGGACTTTTCTAAGTTTCCAGGCAGAAAGAACATTCAAAATGCAGGCAGGGCACAGGACAAAGCAGTAGGGACAAAATGTATGTGAAATGCATTGAAATAGCAATGACAGCAAAAATGACATTTTTTAAAAAATTCAAATTTTCCCCGCCGGTTCCGTCGCGCCGTACGTCCGACGTCACAGGGACCGGAACACAGAAGCCGGATTCCGGCATCGGCGGAGGAGATGGCCGGGGACGCTGGAGAGGACACATCGCGGGAGCGAAGGACAAGGTAAGTGCTTCAGGGACCCCCCAGAGCAGCGCCGCATGGTAAGCCCGAGTGTAGCTCGGGGTTACCGCTTTTGGTATAGAAATTTTACCCCAAGCTACTCTCGGGATTACCGCTAAGGAGGTTAAAGGAATTTTTCAAAAGACTGGTCTCTTCATTCTTATACTGAATTTAACCCTTTAGTGAATGGATAGGGGTACAAGTACCCCTTACTTATTCACAATGGGGGGGGCAACATCAGGGTGTTCGCTTATTTAAAGGGGTACCCATATGCTAATGAGCCCCCCTGTCCGCCAGGGTTGTGGGGGAGAGGCCCTTGTCCTCATTGGCATGGGGGTACCTTCCCTATTCTGAGGGCACATGGCCAGGTAAGCCGCAGGGAGGGGGAGGTGCTTGGTCACCCCCCCCCTTTCTTACCCTGCCAGGCCTGTGCTCAGATCAAGGGTCTGGTAGGAATTTAGGGGGGACCCCATGCTTTCTCCCCCCATTTTTTGGGGATGGGGTTCCCCCTTAAAAGTTCTACCAGGCCTAAAAGGCCATTTTCGGGAAGGGGGTTCCCTTTAAAATGTTTACCAGGCCTAAAGGGCTTTTAGGGGAACCCCAAGCACTTTTTTTTTTTACTGTGGGCTCCCTTCTAATCTTCCTATCATACCTAAAAGGCCTGGTATGGATTGGTGGTGGTGGTGGGGGGGGGACCCACTCTGTTTCTTTTTTTTTTCATAAAAACGTAATTTAAAAAAAAAAATGGTCCTGCTACAGCAGGTTCTATACATTGTGCAGATGTGCAATTTGTGTAACTGTACTTCTTGAATTTTTTTTCACTGATTCATGTTCCTCAGGGCAGTTTGAATTTACAAGTTTGAGTCCCATAGACTGACACTGAGTTTGAAGTTTGTGGTCGAACGTTCATTAGGCTTAAACAGCCAACCATGAACCGGGGCGGACTGACCATTTGGAAAACTCGGGCACTGCCTGAGGGCCCAGGGTCAGTAGGGGGCCCCATGAGATGCCCCTGGTACCTTTTTCATAGGCTTTTTTGAGTTTGGGCAAAGACACAGGGGCCCCATGATCCCCTATTGCCTGGGGGCCCCATGAGTTGCCAGTCCGCCCCTGCCCTGAACTGAACAAGGGGGTGTTCGACCCCTTCACTACTCTATTTCTGTGAAATAATTATATAGGATTATATTTGGGTACAGAATTGCATGACTAAGGGGGGGGGGGGGGGGGGGGGGGGGGGGGGGGGGGGGGGGGGGGGGGGGGGGGGGGGGGGGGCAAGCAATTATCAGTTAAAGTAGCACAGTGCTAATGCGTCAAACCAGAGCTAAAAGAGTCCCTTTCTCTTTGAAGAGCCCTACTCTGTTTTAACCTCTGTCATTCTGTCTGGCATGACAGCCTGTAATACAGATGTTTCATACGACCTGGTTCACATCGGTGCAATTTCAGAAGTGACTTGGGTCACACAGAATCTCATGACAATGAAAATCATGTTCTTTTCAATGGTGCTTTGTCACATAAATGTAACACAACTGCAATGCGACTTTGGGGAAGGGTCTTGTGCTACTTTAGTGCAATGCAGTGCCCCATAGTCTTCAATGCAAATTCATCAAAAACACATCTAAATTTTTTATGCAATGCCAGTGCATTTTTCCTTCAACTTCTCATCCCTCCTTTTCCTCCAGGAATCACAGTAGTATTGAAATAGCATCAAAAAAGCATAAAAAAATAAGTCAAATATGCACTGTGGTATTGCAGTTGTACTACATAATTGCATTGTAAATTGGAAGAAAATTGTAGTTGTACTAGTGTAAATCAGGCCGAAAATCCAAAAAATGCTACATCAGGTACTGTGAACAATTTCTGTTTAAATATGTGATGGCAGCTATTCTGTGTGTAAAGTGTTAACTGCAGTTAACTGACCCAAGCGATGATCACTCATGATGTAGGATGATGCTGAGAGTACCATCACTACATATTGGTAGCAGCAGCTGGGTTCTGACCCTGAATTCATCACAACATGAGATTAGCCAAACATGTTCGGTTCAAAGCACGTTTGCAGAACATGACCTAATTTTGAAGTGTCAAATCTCTCCCTGCTGAAATGAATGTTAAAAAACAGTAATCACAATTTGAAGGTTTATAGGCAATGGAATTTGCAAACAAATGGCATGGGGGGGGGGGGGGGGGGTGACTTGGCACTGCCCTGGGGAACATGTAACAAATCAAACAATTTTTTTTTATTCTGTTTGGCTGGGAGCAGCAATTTTGATAATAATTTTAATAACATTAAAAAATAACATGTCTGAGGGATGCCCTTGATGAGTCTGGTAGGGATGTCAAGAAACAAAAAAACCTCACAGGGTCCTATCAGAACCTTAGCTAAGCATGACCATATTTGATCAATGAGGTCACTTTGGAAACACCTCCCCTTTGTTTACTTTAGCAGCAAAGACTGAGAGATTTCATTCAGTGAGACTAAAGTGATGGGATCAAACTTGTCTGTTAGTCATATTCCTTCTTCAGTGGGCATTGCTCAATATGATTGACGTTTACATACATTGCTGGACCACCTGATTGACAGTAGATTCAATTATTGTTTTGTATTTTTTTAATTAAACATTTATTAAAAACGGTGTGTGTGTGTTAATTCACCTTTCACTTTTTTGAATGAGTATTAACCACTAGCCGCCCAGCCACTGTATAAAAAACGGTTGCAGGGCGGCACGGCTGGGCAAAAGCACGTTTTAAAACATGCTTTTTCAAAACAGGTAGGGGGGCGCGCACGAGGCGCGTCGCTGCCCTACCTTCACCGCCGATCTCAGCCACGGGTGTCAGTCACAGGGTCACAGCCGGTTATTGTCAGCTGTGTCCCGGCGATTAGCGGCAATCAGTGACAGAGAGCAGGGCTGCAGTAGCTCTGCTTTCTGTTATTTCCCTGACAGCTCCTGACAAGCTGACCAGGAGAAAAGAGTTTCTCTGTCCCGATCAGCATGTCTGCATGCAGTATACACCCCCGCCCCCTAGTAAAACACTCCCCTAACACAGTTAACTCTTTCAGTACAAAAAAAAAGTTAATCCCTTCCTCCCCAGTGCCATTAGTACAGTGTCAGTGTTTTTTTTTTTTTGCACTGATCACTGTATTGGTGTCACTGGGGATGTCAGTGACCCCAAGTCAGTTTCCCCCCAGTGTCAGAATGTCCGCCGCAGTCCCGCAGTCCCGCCATAAGTCGCTGATCGCTGCCATAAGTCACTGATTGCCGCCATAAGTCGCTGTTCGCCGCCATTATTAGTATAAAAAAAATTAAAAATCCCAGTATCTTTCCCACCATTTGTAAACGCTATAACTTTCACGTAAAACCAATTAATTTACATGTATTGGGTTTTGTTTTAGCAAAGACATGTCGCAGAATGCATTTTGGCCGAAATTTATGTCAAAATTTTATTTTAAAATTTTTTTTACTGGACATGTTTTATAGCAAAAAGTACAAAATATTGTTTTTTTTTCTCAAAATTGTCAGCCTTTTTTTTATAGTGCAAAAAATAAAAAAACGCACAGGTGATCAAATACCACCGAAAGAAAGCTCAATTTGTGGGAAAAAAAGGAGGTAAATTTCATTTATGTACCGTATTGCATGACCGCGCAATTGTCCGTTAAAGACGCTATAACTTTCACAGCGCTGTATAGCACAAACAGAAATGGCCTAAATTCGTAAATTGCAGCTAAAGTAAAAATACCATAAATTTTGTAGACGCTATAAAAAAGCGCTTTCACACCGAAAGCAATCAAAAAATACACTTATTTTGGGATTTTTTTTTTATCAGTTGAATTAGTGCCGCCGTGCAAAAACATGTAACCTCCCTGCAGAATACATTTTGGTTACTCGGGGTAACATTTCCTAAATTCATAACTAACTTTGAGTTTACTATCTATTTTTGTATAGTCCCTGTGAAAGTAAAAATTAAAAATTTTAAAAAATGTCATTTTTTTTTTTTACATTTTACATAGAAAACATTGCTTCTCAACCAATTTCACATACATTTTGTCCCGAGTGCTTGTTCTGCGCCCTTGCATTTATTCTTTCTGCCTGGAAACTGAGAAATGTCCATGGCGTCCAAAAAGCAGAAGCGGTTTTAGATCAGCTACAGGATAAAATCAGAACAAAGAATTGACCGTCACCAAAAACGATTTTGAAGCAATGCTCTATTTTCAAATTTCAGTGTGAAAAAAAAATGATTATTATTATTATATTATTATTTTTTGTGATTATTTAAAATTGAAAATTTTAGGATGTTTACAGACTCTTGTTCGGGTACAGATTTCAGTGAGCAAAAATTACAGGCATACAAAAAAAACCACATATTTCCATGCAAAATAATGGTACCGCTTTCAGCACCAAAAATCGGAAAGAATCAGACAGGGAGGTTAAGGGGGGGGTAAATCCTCAGGAGGGCAAGTGGTTAAGTACCCTGTATTATTTGACATGAAGGGTCCATATTTGAAAAGGAAGCTTCCAGAATCTGCTAATTCCCCAAACTAGCAGGCCCCCACAATCACTAGGCTGTTTTCATCAATAAAGAGACAAGGTGCTTTGCCAGGGTAAAGTACCCCCCCCCCCCACCCACCCCCATGGTGCCATGATGAGGGCATGTGGCTACACTTTCCTTCCTCCTTACATGACCTGTCCAGTTTCATGCTCAGTCAGTGGTCTATTATGGATTTTGGGGGTCTGTTTTTTTTATACAATCCCCTCCCCTTTGTTTACATTCCCAAGAATTCTTGGCTCACATCTGATTAGACCAGACAAGCATGAGTCATGTATGTTAGGATACAGACAGTAGCCTGCTTCCTAACAACTAGCCAGAGGGAGAGATGTCAAAATTAGCAGTGATAGTAATACAGCTGCTAAATGTACAACTGCCCTCAATAGTTTACCCAACCCACGTACACCTCCTGGGGAGTGAGAGGGGTTAAAACTTCCCCCTTGTAAGCATACCACATTTCATCCTTCCCACCAGCACCTTAACCCTACCTGCTTTCTGCCTTGGAGGAATGGACTGTATTGAACTCCCCACAGTCTATCTTCATTCCAGACTCACACAGATACTCTTTAACCGCTAGCCTACAGGGCACTTATACCCCCTTCCTGCCCAGGCCAATTTCCAGCTTTCAGCGCTGTCGCACTTTGAATGACAATTGCGCGGTCATGCAACACTGTACCCATATGAAATTTTTATCATTTTTTTGTGACAGGTAGAGCTTTCTTTTGGTGGTATTTAATCACCTCTGGGTTTTTTATTTTTTCTTAAACAAACCAAAAACCACTGAAATTTTTGAAAAAAAAAAAATGTTTTTTCTTAGTTTTTGTTATAAAATTTTGTAAATAAGTGATTTTTCTCCTTCACTGATGTGCGTTAATGAGGCTGCACTGATGGGCACTAATAGGATGCACTGATGGACACTGAAAGGTGGCACTGATAAGGAGGCACTGGTAGGTGGCACTGATGGGCATTGACAGGCATCATTGATGGGCTGATACTGGCATATATGGCATTGATAGGCGGCACTGACTGGAAACTAATAGGCGGCACTGACTGGCACTGATAGGCAGCACTGACTGGCACTGTTAGGCGGCACTGACAGGCACTGATAGGCGCACTGGCACTGATAGGCAGCACTGACTGGCACTGATAGGTGGCACTGATTGGCAGCACACTGCTAGGTGGCACTGATTGGCATTGATAGGTGGCACTGACTGGCACTGATGGATGACACTAAAATGCAGCTCAAAAACACTGATATGTGGCATTGATGTGCACTGGTAGGCACTGATATGTGTCATTGATGTGGCACTGATGTGGCACTGGCACGAGGCACTGATGAGCACTAACACAAGGCACTGATGGACACTGACAGGTGGCACTGCTGGGGCTACACTGATCATCAGGGCACACTGATCATCAGTGCCCTGATGATCAGTGTACATGTCCCCTCCGCGGAAAGCCGATTACCGGCTCTCCTCTCGAGCTGTCAGTGTGACAGCTCGAGAGGAGAGAAATGCCGATAACCGGCATTTCCCTGTTTACATGTGATCAGCCGACATCTTCTGGCTTTTTCCGTGATCGGTGATCCGCTGTGTCCGAGGGACACAGCGCACCACTGGTCGCCACGCTGCACGCTCCCTGAGCCGCGCATGCGCAGTGAGAATGGGAGGACGTCATATGACGTCCTCCCAGAAAGAGAGAACCACCTTGCGCCCGTCATATTACTAATGGCGGTGTGGGAGGTGGTTAATGGCTTACAACCTCTGGTGAAACAGCTATAGCATGGCCATATCACATTCCAGTGCATGCATGTATCACATATGAGGTGGTTGGCATGCACCTTGTGTTGCTGCTGCATGTCAGCCAGACAAACACTTGCTAAATATGACCATCTGAAGTAGTTGCAACCTCCTCTAGCCCTGGAAGCTATGGTACCTGACCAGGATCTGCTTTACCACCATGTTCAGGAAAACATATAAGTGTGAACATTCAAAAAAATGGCAGTTGACTAGTGCAGAACCGCTTGGAAAGTGGTTAATTAAATCCTCAGCGGAGTAATATATTACTACAAATGTAAATGCAATGTTGTATTTATTCGATCACTTAGATCATGAAAAAGATCGACAGAGACAGAGTGAACATGTTGCAATCACATTAAAATCAAATAATTAAAATAAAGAACCGTTCGTCTTCAAAAACGGCTGTATAGGCAAAAATGACCAATATGAGGCAATGGAATTGAACTAATCAATAAATTGAACCCTAAAAAAATTGACAAATCACAAAACCAACCAGTAAAGGTTCATAACGAAATTTGGACAACAGTGGAATGAGGTCAAAAAGATCCTAAATTCACATAGGCATTTACTTACTTTGAACCCAGGAATAGCGCAAATTGTAGGTGAAAAACCACTGATGGTAGCTAAAAGAGCCTCTAATCTGAATGATCTATTGGTTCAGTAAGAATTTAAGAAGGTCCCCAGAGATAATTGGCTGACAAAAATGAATAAAACGGTAGGCATGTTTCCATGTGGCCATTGTCAAGTTTGTCCCTTTGTACATAAAACGGACCAATTTTTTAATACCGACAAATCTCAAACTTTCCAAATAAGAAATTTCATTAATTGCTCTAGTAGTAAAGTGATTTATATGATAGAATGCCCATGTAAAAAGATTTACATAGAAAAAAAACAAAAAAGAACATTGAGAACAAGAATTGGTGAACATTTAAGAGATATCAAAAATGATAATAGAAATAGAAGTGAAAAGGAGAGAGAGAATCCCCTAGCCCAACACTTTAAGGATGTACATAAAGGGAGAACGGAAGGCTTGACAGTAAAGGGAATCTTTTTGTTGAATATCTCCTCAAGGCGGGGTGATTTTGACAAAGTACTTCTTCAGAAAGAAAAATATTGGATTTATACCCTGGGTACATTATTGCCACAAGGATTAAATACAGAACTCAATTTCAAAGTATTTTTGAATTAAGAAGGAGAAAAGAATTTGTTAGACCTAATAGGATTTATTTACTAAAGGTGGTTCACTCAGAATCTCATGTACCTGTGCATGGCAGCCAATCAGCTTCTAACCTCAACTTGCTCAGTTAAGCTTTAGCAATAAAACCTGGAAGCTGATTGGTTTCTATGCAGAAGTGCACAAGATTCTGAGATACCAGTTTTAGTAAATAAACCTCAATATGTCCACAAGGCTATCTGATAAATATGATTATACTATATGTAAAATATATCAAATAGAGTTTAAATACTGTCTAAAGTAGACTCTGATTAAATTGGGCCATTTCCCTAATGTTCTTTTACAATCATATGCTTTTCTATGGGATTTTTTATTTTAATGTAGTGATGACATTTCAACACAAGAAGGCGACATATGCGGTTTAAAAGGCGCAATTAAGGCACTATATAAGGTAATGGATGAGTTGTCCCTCCCAGTTCTGACGAAGTCTGCGATGATTGGTGGACGAAACGCATCAACGTAATGACATCATCACGCTAGGCGTCTTCATAGGCTGCGGTATCCACGAGGGGAAAGAAGTAAGCATTGCAGATCCATCTTGGATAAGCATGAGGCCATATAGAAAATAATAAGGCGACCATTCTGAGGAGATTTTTTGGCGATTCAAGTGGCTTTACTCACTTCCACCCGTGGCAAGTAATAGTGTGTTAAGCTGAGTCACTCTAGACTACAATTTTTACAAACGAGAGTCATACCCTATTTATCTATATGTTTGCTTGAAGCCCCAGACTGAGGGGGAATTTTGGACTCACTAGGTATATACTATATACCATGTGTTACACAACTAGCGATATGGGACATCTGTCTCACACATCCATATAGGAACTGCACCAACTCTGCAAAAAAAAAGAGTCATTTTTGGAACCCTTAGAGGGGCATGTATTATAGGAACCATTGATGTTTGAATGTCCTCTATTGAAATATCCATACTAACTACTCTGGATTGAAACTCCTTTACCAATATACCAATGTTTTTTCACATCTACAGTGAAGAGAATTTTTTCTGAACTTCCTCATGGTAATTCACATTAACTTATCTCATGACACTATAGCACCATTGCTATTTACTTCTCATTATCTAATATTTATTCACTTTTAGAGTCACTTCTTATTGTGGATTCACTTCCACCTATGTTGGCTATCCATGAAGGTCTATACCCACTATGCACACAGCATGGCACAGTCATTGAGAAGGTAAAGAGAGATATACAGTATACTCAATTAATCTGAATATGTGCATCCTATTAGGCAGATGTTAAGTTTATTATCCCCTGTCTCCTTTGTATTCATCATTATCCATTATTCAATTTCTAGGAGTTTATTTATTTTTACTGTGGTGTTCATGAAGGAACAGCTAAAGAAGGAAACGATTCCACTAGGCTACTATATATGGAACTTCACTGCAGATGAATACAGAAAGGAAATTCCATTGCCTCATATTGGTCATTTTTGCCTATACAGCCGTTTTTGAAGACGTCGAACGGTTCTTTATTTTAATTCTTTGATTTTAATGTGATTGCAGCATGTTCACTCTGTCTTTGTCGATCTTTTTTGTGATCTAAGTGATCGAATAAATACAATATCGCATATACATTTGTAGCAATATATTACTCCTCATAGCATTTAATTAACCACTTTCCAGGCGGTTTTGCACTAGTCAACTGCCATTTTTTTGTGTGTTCTAGTATTTTTAGGTTTATAATCCACACTTTTATACAAGTGAGTCGGAGATACCATTAAGATACGATTATCGTACCAGCTTGGATGGCATTTTTTCTTTTCTGAGTGTGAACATTCCCTGCTGAACGGCGGACAGTAGGTGGGTGCCATAGTTACATATGGCCTGGCCTTAGATGGTGTGGGGGCCAGCCACCTCTTGGCTTGACCTTAAAAAGCTTCCAGAATCTATGGCTCAGTGTGGCTCTTCCTAGGCATACCAGCTTCAAAATAGCATGGCATCAATTTCACCAGCCCACTACATAGGCTCTTTGGGGAAGACCGGTTGTTCTCAGTATTTAGAGGATGAGACCATTTAGGGAGAGGCAGTATGGGTGGCTGAGAAGTCACCTACACTAATGTTCAAACATGAGGCTGCATCACCAGCTCCAGTGGTGTGCCCCATTCTGCATCCTTCCAAACCACCACTGAATTTATCCGGTGTGCCATGAAAGAGATGTTATGTACCTGCCCATGCTTGTTGGACCATGAGTTAGCACAGTGTTTCTCAACTCCAGTCCTCATGGACCCCCAACAGGTCATGTTTTCAGGATTTCCATTATTTTGCACAGGTGATTTGATCAGTTTCACTGCCTTAGTAATTACCACAGCTGTTTCATCTGAGGGAAATCCTGAAAACATGACCTGTTGGGGGTCCATGAGGACTGGAGTTGAGAAACACTGAGTTAGCAAGACACACCACCGACAGTATGATCCAGTGAAAGGGACACATTAATTTCTACATGCTGTTAGTCAAGAAGGGATAGCCATCTGGGCACATGCTGTACCCACCAACCTTTGTGGTTTTGATTTGTGTGTCTGCTCAAGTATGTTGTAGCAATCTGAATGTTAGTTTTACCACAACATACAATGCATGCAGAAGTGCTTCTATCAGCAGCAGATATGTGAAAAAGATTCAAGTTGCAGAACTCTATAGACTGACCTCGGGGACAGCAGTGGTCTGTATCCATGGAACAGTTCCATTTATTGAAATTGAATTGGCGCTCTGATCTGGAAAGAAGTTGAGCCGCTCAGCAATTTACCCTTTGACGATTCCTTGGTGACCATCCCAGTGCCTGGAAGAGGTTGTATCCATTGTGTCACATCTTTAAAGAGGACTTCTGGATTACCATCATCCTCTTACCCAGATGAAGGCCACCTAACTCGGGCTGCATCCAGTACCATTCTAGAAGGGATTCCTGGCAGATCACCATTTATTGTTTACACCGCGCTTTAATAATGCACATCTGGTGAGTGTGCATTTTACCTATACCCCGCACTTCACCTGAATATTGAAGTACGCACAGCTGGGAATAATCAAGTCACCTTTGTTCTAATCATTAATGTCTATTTGTATTTGGATTATATCCATCTGAACGTTTATCCTTTTATAACATCAGAACTTTTCATTCAAATGCACATAATCTTGATGATTGGATGCTCTTTTGATACTTGA